GTATTGGACACAAGTGATTGTGTATGGAGGCTCCGCTCTGAAACGTAAGATGTTTTCTTGCTTCAAGTGTTCTTCCGTAGTGTAGTCAGGCAGAGGGTTTTTGAAGGCGTGTCTTTACGTTGTAAGCTTTTCTTTTTCTAGAGCACTTTTAACAATGCACGTGTGCCTTTTAGATAAATTTACATACAGAAGGACATGATCGGGCAATGTGAGCACAACTCCGGGTCTGTACAGCTTGGAGATATGCATATTTTCTTCTCATATTTTCATAAGGCATCAGATGCAATTTCAGGGCAGCAAAAGTGGAGAATCAAAGTCAATTTTCTGGCCATTCTGTAGTACGTTGCAGCAACCCTTCCAGCCTATGATACAAAACAAGCAACCGTTCTCTTTCAGTGCCTCACAGATATCAGTATGCCATGGGATAGGGTTGCTTTTTTTATATTCCAACATTTCATGACTAGACAAGGTGACAGAACACTCAAGTTATATCAACTTATTCTATGCCGCCACTAACACTGAGAACAGGACAGGACAATACTCATTTTCACTTGAGTTAAGTGAGGAAAGTCGAGTAAAGTGCCTTTCCCAATGGCACAAAATCGGTGGCATGTCATCAGGACTCGAACCCGGGACCTCTTGGTTCCACACGACCTCAATGATTGATTCAACTTACTACCGTAAAAGACCAGAAAATTGACTTTGAAAATCCCTTTTTGCTGTCCTGAAATTGCATTGGATGCCTTGAAGAAGAATCTAATACTCGATCAATCTGATCATTTGTCTATAGACCGGAGGTTCTACTAGCGAATCGGGTACTTCTTTATGATTTGCATTTGTCGGGCTTCAATTGTTGCAATAATGTCAGAAAAATATGTGATTAGGGAATATGTCATAGCCTCCATAGCATGCCAAAAAACGGGGGTTTGGGGGGTCTTCAGGGTCTTTGGGAGCTTTTATGTGCTATTTTCTGATTGCATATAGACAACATAGCCGGCCTGGTTGAATTACCCTCGTTTTTTTTAGAACTGAGCTAATCAGAAAACAGCCGAAGACCACCAAACCCCAAGTTCTATAAGCCTCACAGGTAAGTCAGTTACAAATGTAACTGTCATTATCACACATATATCTTTTCTCATGCCATCAAAGTACCCTCATACGATAATCCTGCAAGTTATTAAGTAAAACATAACGACAGTTAAAAGCATCAAACTTAACAATCTGCAATGGGGCCCAAAATTTACTTCATAGGTCACCACAAAAACAAGGCTCGCGAGAGCCACTCAAAATGTTTTGGGTTACTGTACAGACAGTGAGGACAGATGTTTGTTGACCTCTAATCATTTTGAGGTCTCATCAAGACCTACTCAAGTACCAAGTTTCATAACAATCTATCCATAGCTTCTTCCGTATACATATATACATACATACATACATACACACATACATACACACATACATACATAGAACTAGAGGGTTTTTGTCCATCCGTTTTACACTGGTTGTACAAAACCATTATACAAAGTTACTTTAAATAGTTTAAGTTACATTCAATTAATGAAATATTAAAAGGGATTTCAGGACAGTAAAAGAGGCCTTTCAAAGTTAATTTTCTGGTCATTTTCCTAATGTAGTAGGTTGAATCAATCCTATCCCATAGCATAATGATATCTGTGAGCTCGAGGCAAAAATGCGAAGTCGCTGACGAAAAACGGTTTCTTGTTTCGTATATTAGACTGGTTTTAGCTATTCATTGGTTTTATAGTTTAAATATTTACAACAATAATAATGATAAATGATAAGTATCATATTTTAAGCGAATCACACTCTTTTAATTAGAGACATCCAATGCTATTTTAGGGCAATTTTAATTTTTTGCCTTTTTTATGTTGTAAGTTGAATTAATCCTACCCAATGGCATACTGATATCTTTGAGGCAAAAATGGCATTTCGCGGACGAAAAACGGTTGCTTGTTTTGTATGTTAGGCTGGTTCTAGCTATTTCTTGGTGGTAGCAAAAAATAAAGAGACTTCTCACGTAGCTTGATTTTGGGCTATTTCAAACGCTTCAAGGGAGAAATAATGACGAATTTGTGCGAAGAAATGGCCAGAATATATTTGTTTTTCTGCCCAGAAATTACATTGGATGCTTTCAATATGTTAATTGTTTCCAATGAAGCCCCCCCCCCCACTTCTTTACCGCATAAAATGACGCGATCTTTTCAAATTCTCTTTCCATGAAGCATATTTATTTGCAGAATTACGTAAATTATAGCTCGTTAGTATTAAATTTCATGCACAACAATTGTACAAAATATGGCAACTACTGGTACATAACTATAATTCCATAATGCTAATCTAATACAAGAGTGAAAATAATAGGATGAGAAAGTATTATGGGATGGAAATGGGCTTCTACAATCATCGGATTAATTTCTAACGTTTGAATATTTTTTAATATATTATCTTTAAGATATTTTACTATATCTTAACGCTAATATATTTTCTTATGTATGCCATGTAGGGAGTTGCCACGTGTCTTTATGTACTTAAAGTGACTTAATGTAAGATTTTCACTATTTTAAACATCGTTGTTTACACATTTTCTTGTACTATAATCCTACCTGGGTTCATAATGACATTTGGGAGTAAAATATTAATATCATTGCGCCGCAAACGGTGTTGGAAGCTGCCGAAGAGACCCGAACAAAAATCGCTGTTTGTTTACATTCTTTTTAGGAGCCTCCCACAGCGGGCCTGGTGTAACTTATTCTCGCGTTGCGCTGAGTCGCTGGAAAATTTTAAAGCGAAATAGCGACGCTAATATGTTGAAAGTTATTCAAAATGACAATCTAGAGGAGAAAATCTTAATCATCTATATTTACAGTTTTGGCCCAAAAACCTTATATAATATCGATATTCAAGTCCATTGAGATAAATCCTGGTATAGAAAGACAAGGCCACAGCAAGTAAACTTTGTGGATGACATCCTCCGCAGACTCCAAATCTAATGCGAGCAGACAAAAAAAGCAAGGTTCCTACATTTTAAAATTTTGACTCAATCATTGTACAAATGGTTTTGATTCAGCGGGAACATCACATATACACAGCCAGCATCACATATCACTGCATCAAAGGAAGAAACAAAACATTAAATCAGAGGCATTTCTTGTCTCCTGTCTTCTTCGTTATCTGCCATCCACCTTCCGGCATGGCAGTAGACATCTTTGCCCATTTTCGGCATGTTGACCACTTTCAGAAGGCAACAAAATTTCTTGTTTTTTTTCTAAATCAGACGAAAATTAATGCGCACGCTAATGTCATCAATAAAACATTACTTGCTGTGGTTTGAAGTTTGAAGTTTAAAGAAACACACCTTGTTTGATGTCGCTGGTACTGTATGCCTCACCAGTGGGCGCATCAGTTGAACACCACCCGTACCGTCATGGGGAATTTCGGCCTTTAGCTAAATTAAATTAGTATTAGCCAATCCGCATCCGACCTGGATATCAGTTTAATGGTGATGTTATCTCTCTCTACATCAAATACAGCTAAGTATAGAGCCAATATTTGACATCAATTATTCTCATTTAGACCATGTCGACAATCCGTTACTAATCCTAAGATACAACCAAACAAAGTTAAGTGGTGCTCCTATCGTGAAACACTGTAGGGGCTAGATTACTATCAAGCAAATTAAATCTGCACTTCTTACAAAACTCAGGATCTTCGATTTAACACTCCACTTGTTTCTTCCGGCTTCCAAGGGCCCCGGTCTTGTAATAGATTTAAGTGCAATGAATCTAAGTTTTGTTATTCTTAGCAGACTCACAGTGTCTGCCAAGCTCCTTGTCACAAGAATCAGGTGTAGTGTGGAAAGAAAACAACCCTTTTTAACTCACACCTACCCCCTTAATCGATTCTAATGACGAAGAGAGTATTGTAGGGCCCCGTATTTTAACCTCTTGAACACACAATGTGTGGGCAGCACGGGGCTTTTCGCTGTGTAAACTACATGACAATCCTAACAAGGCCCCAAAGCCCCCGGTACAACCTTGTCGACAGGTGCGGGGAATGGGGAGGCGGGACTTCCAGACGTAACCCTCTCCACCCCTGACCCTTCCCGCGACCTGTTAGACAATCTTGCTACCCCCACAAACTTTACTCAACCGCAGGAGCGCTGAGCAATTGTGCTTGTCTGCATGGTCCCTGGTCGTCCTGAGCCCGTTTGTATCGATGTGGACAGCGGGTAATCCTTGGCGTATCCACGCTATGCTGCACGCCATTCTTCCCTGTAAATTTACCGTGAGGGCACTTTGAAACGGCAAATAAAGCAATCGCTATCTTTTCCGATCTTCTTCCCACAGCCATACCTTTTCCCCTTCACGCCACATACCTGAAAAGATCCGTCATTCTGAAAGATAAGATACAACTTTTTTTTCTGTTAACTTTTGTCTGTATTTTTCTTTCTTTCCCAACACGTTTGGTCAGAGACAGGTGACGCAACAAAAGGTCGTCTGCGCGGCTGTCAATCAAGTTTGAGTTATGCGAAAGACGCAGGAAGGAGGCGAGACGCTCCTTTTTCTTCCCTCACAACACCTGAGTCATAACGTTTTCTCACACAATACAAAGTTTCAGTGTGTGTGTGTAGAGCGTCTTTCGTCAAATTTCACAAGGGAAAAACACTTCTGTTACTAGCGATGACGGATGTAGAATACGTCAAGTGTTATTTTTTTTCGTGCATCCGGTTCCTATGCCTTACCCTCTCACAGGAAAGCGCACTTCTCGTTTATGTAAAAGATGGTTAGTTTGGAGGTTTTTATCAGTTGAGTAAATCCCCTGTGTACTTTACACAAGAGGGTGGGACCTGGCGGTAGCGCCGTGTTAGGTTCACCCACGACAACTCTAAACATCCTTATCTCTCCCCCATCGACATAACTGCTGCTAAGGTAAACGACATTAAACCGAATATCCCGCCCTAGAAAGCCCGCAAATGCATTTTTGATCTAACGTTGTCTGGTTCCGCTTGTCCGCGGGAGGACCACGGCTCAAAACATTTTGGTTTCGAATTGCTTTTAAGTCCCGGAGTGGACTGTTTTATCTGATGGTAGACCTACAGCTTGGGATATCGAATAGGCCCGCTCCAGACGACCCTACCTGACTTGTGTGTCGTCTCGACGCCAGTCCCTACCCCCTGTCTTCACTCCCTCCCTGCCCCAAACCGTCTCACCAACACCAAGACGCCAGAACTACTTTCCACTTGTCGGATAAGACCCCCCCCCACTCCGTCTAAGCAGGAAGAACGTGCGATGTTCTTTGGATAACCAAACAGGCGAGGCGACAATTGGGCGATAATGAAGTCCTCTACAATCCACTCTACAGCCCTATTGACTTGGAGGGGATTTGCACAAGCTGATGTACATCAGTGTACTTAAACAGTATTACTCCTTCTACTCCAGCAGATTATTGTAGACAGAGAAGCGGTTCGTGGGTGTGAGAAGATCGGCTGGTGGGTGAGATATCGCCGGGTTTGGACGGACAGGACCGGGCTATCTGGGCGGGTGGAGCTGACAAGAACAAGCCTGCCTTTTAGCGGTGATTTACGATGTGGAACACTGTGGACACTCCGCAGGTCTACCGTAAGTATACATTTTCAAGCGAAATGTTTGGACTCATTCTTGCGACGGGGGTTTTCTTTGTTTAAATCTAGCGAGATTATAGATCCAGAATTATGGCTGGGTTGTCAGTAGTGCAGAGTCTGGTGTTGACTAAGGATCGGAATTTTCGCTCATTGACAAGAGTGGAGGGTGTCTGCGACTCTATGGCGACCCAAACACCATTTACTTAAGCAAATGGAGAGATCATATAAGCTAAACAACACTGACAGTTAGTGGTGCCGGCTAAGAGCATGATACTTGTAGTAATAGCTTGAGAGTTGGGTTCTGTCAACACGAATTCCCCCGGGTGGCGTCGACCAATCACAGCTCACGATGCTGGTGAATCTGGGGAGGGTAGCGACTATTTAGCAGCCGGACCCCCCAATCTTAGGCGATCGTATTTCTCAAGCTGGCGCTGTGTGTGTCACGCCCAGTGCTGAGCAAAACCCGTCCCGGCTCTCCGTTCGAAGCGACTCAGCTGTTAGTCTGTCATTCCCAAACACCAGGCTCCCGTGACACGACCCGAGACAACGGCGACGCGCACGCGGGCCTGGCGCCACCACGGACAAGCCACCCAGAACAACAAGGCCGTCTACCCCCCTTCAGCCACATGATGCTCCCAAGCCCAGTCAACTCCACGCCTTTCTCCGTGAAAGACATCCTCAACCTAGCGGACACCGGCTTCGACGACTCGGAGTCGGGAGGCCTGCCGTCCCCGGAGGACACCATGCTCGCCACGGCACAACAGAACAACCACGTCCGCTGTGAACAACTGACGCTCGGGTCCACTACACACCACGGGATCTGCGCTACTACTGCTGCCATGCTGACTTCTACACAGAAACAGTGCATGCAAGCCGGCAACATAGACAGAGCATGTGAACCAGGTAAGAATATTATTCCTTACTTTAGAAAAGTATAACAGAATTGTGACTCACTACGCTTTAACACATAGCGTACATGTGTTCAACAGCGTTTCCTGTATCTTCGCTTGTTTCATCTGTTTGTCCCAAATCCAGAACAACCAAACATCGCTTCACCACTTGGTCCTGAAGTGTTTGGACACCCCCAGCCCCTCCGGGCACTTTAATCTGTCCAGAAACAGTACAAAACATTTGCAAAGAACCGTTACATAGGGTCACTTTCTTACCCGAGCCTTAGAAACTAACGCGACGTGTCCTACTTTAACTCCAAGATGTTTATAAACACAGCCTGTGATAATGAAGCAAAAGTAGGCCGAGTAATAAAGAAATAAAAACGTAAGAAAACAGAAACTTCATCGTGCACTTTGCTCTACTGCTAACCTCACTTGATATGGGTTCTTAGCTCACTAAACGTTCGTGTATTTACACACTCTTGACACTGTTTAAATATGATGTTCGCTTATAATGTTTCTAGAGAAAGTTGTGCGTACGACCGTGTAATTTTAGTCTTCGTTAAAAGCTAAACGGATTTTTTATTTCCATGCAGATAATATGGGACTTTTAAAGAAAGACGGCCGAAAGGACGACTCCGATGACGAGCCACCGAAGATTCCCCCGCAGGCCCAGCGGCAGAGACAGCGGCGGAAGCCGAGGGTTCTGTTCTCGCAGGCGCAGGTGTTCGAGCTCGAGCGGAGGTTCAAACAGCAGCGGTACCTGTCCGCACCCGAACGAGAACAGCTGGCTCAGATGCTCAAACTCACGTCGACGCAGGTGAAAATCTGGTTTCAGAACCGGCGGTACAAGTGTAAGCGTCAGCGGACGGACAAGACCCTGGAGTTGACGCACCCTCCGCCTCGCCGCGTCGCCGTGCCGGTGTTAGTACGGGACGGCAAGCCCTGTCAGATGACGCCGCCGCCGTACAGCGCGCCCTACAACGTCAGCGTCAACCCCTACGGCTATAACATGAACGTTCACGGGACATACACCTCCAACAACTTCTACTCTGGATATAGTACAAACTATACAACTTACAACGCGACCATACCGCCCGTACAAACTGTTACAACCATGCAGCCCCCGCCATATAGTCTTCAACCTGGGGTACATCAAGGGATCCGAGCATGGTGACTGTCAAACACACAACTTCACATCCCACCACTGTTGCAACCCGTTTTACAGAGGGACCCACCTCTGCACAGCTCGGACTCCTACAAAAACTCGCGCCAGGACGTTTGACTGACAGAAAATGTTGTTTCGTGTTGCTGCTGAGGAAAAAACAAAACGTCGTCTGATTTCTTGAGAGGGAAAATCGCCTGTGACCAGATGAGAGACTTGAACTCGTAAGTGCCAAAAGGGCCATCATGATCATACTATCGTATATAAGGTCTAACCTCAAGTTCAGGCGTACCATATGTACTTTGTGCTATTTATTTCCTACTTAAAAGTATAAGATATTATTTGTTACAGCATAGGGCCTACAGTAGATTTCAGGGACTTATTGTGTATATAATTTTGCAGAGACATGACACACTAAAGCAGGGTTGTTTTCTGAGGCGGTTAAAGAAGATTAAGAACTGTTTTTCCTACTTCCGCTGGACTAACTCCTTTGTGGATATCCCGCCAGATTTAGACAAGCTGCCCCCAACACGCTGTCAGTAAAACTGAGAGAAAACATCTCACAGACTGCTGTCTCAAAAAAAACTCAAACATTTTGTGGCACAGAAAATTTTCCGATATCTACAATTTTCTACAGTTATAGAAACATGTTCGTAGCTTATTGTGAATCCCATTTTTCAGAAACGCTCCCGTTTTACTTGTCTAAACGAACGAGGAGATATAAAACCCTTCTGTGTGGTTGTACTGGAGTAATTGAGCTCTAGTCCGTATAGAGAGGAGAGATATACAGCGTGAAGATGGTAGGTGAGCAAGGCCAGGCTCTCCCTTAACCCGCCTGACGGACATAAAACACATGCCTTAAGAGGAAAGCTCTTGAGACACTGTGTCCAAACTTTCCTTTCGTTCACGGACGGCTCTACAACCCTCTCGTCAAGATAAGACTCCGTCAGTGACGACAAACTGACAGGAGAATCGGACGATAGTTTCTTTGTTGACTCAAATCTTGACAGGAAACCCTATTCATGTGTACTTGTCGTTTTTGTTCATGTTACGTAAAAAAAGCTGTAAAGTTTTTATGTACAGGAGAGTTGACTTATATAAAAATGGCAGTCTAGTGACGATATTTAAGAAATGCAGTAAGGCTGTGTAGGGAATAAAAAGATTTTCTCGTTCTAAGACAATGCTAATGGTTTTTGAATCCTGGTTTTTGTCAGTAGTAAAACCGTGATTAGGTTAAGGCTCTGTGAACACAAAAGGCTGTGACATGGGCGATCAAGCCTACAACACAGCAACAAATGCTTGTCTACTCAACCGCCTGTTCAGACATTAAAAACGAAAAATCCTTCACTGTAATTTCAAGAAACTAAATCTAATCAAATCCATGTTAACACAGGTGTACCATCGCGCCCAAAAAGATCGTTTCAAGCGCAGGTTTACGCACAGAAATGTTGGCGTAGTGGTTCAAATCTTACACAAACATCGTGTTTACCTTTTTTTTTCAAACGGTGTAGCCACGTAGAGTACAACTCAAGTGGTAGTTTAGGGAGTACTAGTAATTGTTGAAAGTTGAAAATACATATGTCTGCACCCAGGGTGGTCCAGTGTAACAGCCTTCGGGTCTGGATAGACTTGATCCCCGGTTCAGGGCCGTACGCGGGTGGTTAGAATCAAGGTGCAAGGTGTGACACAGTCGCGGCGCGTGGCTGACATGGCCGCCGTATTTGCAGAGGCTTTCCTGACAGTATGGGCACCGGCGTTCGTTTTGTTGTCACTCGGGCTGTCATACCCCGCTACCTCCATTAACATATCCCAACAAAGATTCGGTTCTACCCACAGTCTGCCAGTAGACGTATATACTAGTCACCTAGATCAGTATCTGGCGGGAGTTTGAGAGCAAACAGGTCCTGTATTATCTTCCTACGCAATTTTGTAGCAATTGTTTGAGTCACAGGCGTTGGTTTCAATCTTTGGCAGTGCGTGGCGGCATTCCCTAAACTTCGCAGGGTGGTCCGGCGTGTCTGTCCTGTTTGTAAATTTTTCCACTCTTTCCTCCCAGTGACATCCGTGAAAGTAAAGGAGGAGACGTGTTACTTCTCAACGAAGCTCTAGCCGTTTTTGATCGGCAAAAAAACAACACTGTCAGACATTTTTTTTTGCTCGCTATATTTTAGTAGACCATAAAAACGTTCTTTTGCTGCAGCAATTTGGTTTCTTAACAAATGTAGAAAGTACTACTAGAATCAATTGAGACTAATTAACAAGCATATATGTGTCGCTACGTGGTGTCTAGCATTCGTTTATACGAAAAATTTATCAGCTTACGTATTCAGTGCCTAACATGCTTGGCTTTTGGACTGTCTGCTTCCCTTTGAGCATTTTTAAAAAATGAGAAGGAAATCGTGCGTGGTTGATTTTCTTCCTTTTTTGTCTTTCATACACTGTGAAAAATCAAAGCACCATTTTCAATAGATAATTCGATCTATTCCTTGTTTGTGTTGGATGAAAAGCAAACTGTATATAATCTATAATCTATGAAGTAAAATAACGCCATGTCTTCTTCTTAACTGTTTAAATTTTCGACCGTACAGGACCACATTGGTCCCTACTACATTTCCCATAAAAGATTATTTTCTACCACGATACATGTACTTAACCATACTCTCCTAACCACGAACATACAGTATACATAATTGACCATAGTACAGACAGATATGTTCATAAACAGATATTAATTTCTGTTCTCTATCACAACTACTGATTATGTGCTTGGTTGTTGACAATGATCAATGATCAATGTATATACGAATTTATTCAGCGTTGAAAGCTTTAGGCCATATTCTGAACTAAATGCTTTAGTTAAACGGTGGAGTTCGGCTATTGAGAAGAACCTTGAGAGAGAGTTTGTTCTGTGACGAATTCTGAAGTAGAATTGAGCCATCGCTGCTACAGACTTGACAGTTGATCCTGTCGTCAAGGACCACGCGAGCACCCTGCCCCTCCCGCCGGACCTGCGGGCCACTTCCCCGGGGACTCATCGGTCTTTCTCCGGTGCAAGGGTACGGCCCCGTCCGCCATGTCCATCCATGGTGGCCCGGATAACTCTCACGTTCAACACAAGCGACTTGTCATCACCCAGGCATGTACAAGTGCATGCTTTCCGTCCTTCTGTTTCAATAAATTTCATTTACAGGAAGGAATTTCAGGTTCGTGTTTTTATTGTTGTTTTTCTCCATTTCGTATGTGCCTTTAGGAATTGCAATTTTTCTTAAAACAGAGTTATACTGTGAGTTTCCTCAGTTGTGTTACTGTATCATCTTCAGTGTGTGTTTGAGTGAGAGAATAAAGACGCTACTGTCTGTGGGCGAGTTGGGGGTTACGTCTGTAGCAGACCTACCGCGGTGTGGTACGACAGGGGAAGGCCTTGTCTGGTTGAGCGGGGCCCCCACTTAGATACCCCGTACACACACGCACCCGTAAGGGCGAAAGATCGCTAATGGAGTCCCTATCGTGTGTGCAAATCTCGACCTCCCTTTGCTTGTAAACTAGCCCGTCTCTATCTCCCACACACATTAGCGGCAATGGCTGTTATTAACAACCTACTTGATGTGTCTGTGGACTAAAGGACTCAGGTATACAGTAAATCTGCAGGACACTTTTCTGCCAAGATTGGCTGACATAAAACCGGTCACCCCTATTTTACAAGGTCAATTTGAAGCAGGCAGACGTCATAAACAAAACATTAACATGCCTTTTCCTGCCACCTATACATTGTTCTTCTGGGCAGCAGACCTAATAATCTACCATAGTTCTAATTATGTCAGGGCAACAAAGGTCAATATTCTGGGCAATCAGTGATACTGGTACACGTTTTGAGCAGTCAACAACAACCTTGTGCAAGCGTCGTGCATTGAAACTGGTGGTAAAATCGTGTACGTGCGTTCGCTATGTTACTAGTATATCTGTATCAGTATAGCCGGTATAAGCGCCCTTCGGCGTAACACACCAGCTTACGTATGTCGTACTAACGCTAAACATGTATTTCAGTTCATGAACCGCGAATAGTATTTCTTCTATGTCTTTGGAGTTGTTTGAAAGTTCTTTACTGATGATGTTCTTCAAAACAAGAAGCAAGTACAGTACATGTAGTACTTTTTGTCTCCATGGAATGAGTGCTATGATATTTTACGCTCGTACCAAGGACGCTGCACCGGTAGTTTTAGGTCTGAAACCCTCTGGTGTGTGAAAATCTCTCATTGTACTACTATTGGGAACATTCAAAACGACACAATCATAGGTACCTTTAGTGTATATTTCTTCTTCAAATTATTATTCTTCTGTGTTCATTACTGATTTGAATAAATGTATTATTAGATGTAGGTTTAAAAGATAGTATCATGGCGTATGCAGTAAGTGGGGTTGGATATGTTTAGAATAAAAAAATAATAATTCAGTTATATAGCATGATATTACAGGGCTAATGTATACAATTGATTGTTTCACTAGCCGTTTATTGATATTTAATGCTGATATTTATGTTAAATGCTGTTGTAATTCATCAAAATATGGGACGTAACATATCAATGCTACCTTCGATAAACTAGAATACTGGTACGGTATAACGTTATATGTATGGGAAAATTGACCACAATATCGAGAAAAGCTGTTGCCTACCAGTTAAATTGTTTCTATCTTAAGTGCAGTTTTTGATTCGATTCTTTACCACTAAGCAATTGAGGATATGCAAGAAGTAGTAGTATTGTTTTCAACCGAACAAAATCCGTATTTGTTTTTGGCAGATCAGAACCAATATGTACAATTCACTATATGGAGTGGCTGTCCTTGTTCAGCACACTTCAATTGACAATTAAATAGCTCACTGTTTTTATATGATATGAATCTTTATTGCATGTTCTTGCCCAGATGGGCTAAATGCACAAGAGGACATGCAGTATGCAAAACATGAGTATTGCATACTGGAACGCTATATTCTAATGCTAATTGCTAGGAATTTATACATCATATCAATACTATATACTACCTATCATCTACTGCTAGTTGCCCTTTCTTCTCTCTTTTTGAAACATTTGGAAACATGATTACATAGTTTGTCTGATTACAGAATTCGCACGTTCTATCTTTCAGAGGGGTACGGCTATGCCTGCCGGATTCTATACGTAAGGGATGGTCACTAATGCGAAGTTTACACATGGCTCTGCGATGTTCGAAGTTTGCAATGTTTAAATATTATACTTGTCTGTACGTATGTTTGTACCTGTAACAGGCTAAGATTGTACTGTATGTACAAGAAGATACGTCGATATCAAAGGCATCCAATGCAATTTCAGGACGGTGAAACTGCATTTTTTAAAGTCAATTTCTTGGTCTATTTGTTAAAATGTAGTAAGTAACAACCATAACATACTGGTATCTATTATGAGGCAAAAATGTGATGTCGATGGCGCTTGCTTGTTTCGTATCATAGGCTAGTTCTAGTTATTTATTTACTGGCTCTACAAAAAAAAATAAAGGGATTCCTCACCTAGCTGGTTTCTGGACTATTCCAAACTCTTAAAGTATGAAATGATGATGAAAATGTGCTAAGAAACTGCAGCAAATGTCAATATCAAACAGATTTCGTCCTCAAGAATATTTTTTTTTGTTTTGCCGTCCTGAAATTGCACCGGTTTCCTGTAGCGGTGACTCATACGTACGCACCGCAAAATGAGCAATCCAGTGTGATTACACCGTCCACTCGAGCGTTCGGATAGCCCCATGAATGAAGTGTTTTCCCGCCCACCCATTCTTCCTAATTACCCTCGAGATTTTACGGGCTTCAGCGCACGCACAAACCCCCTGGGCTCAACATGGGCGTCCCGGTAGCCTCCACTAAATTCTTTTCTAGTCTCCACCAGGCTCCTTTTGCAGGCTGAATAAGTCGTAGAAATCGGCCTAAAAAGGGGATATAATTGGCCAGAGGAGTTAGCCGGCCATAGAGGGTCCAATCCCCTTTTTTGGCCGATTTCTACGATTTATTCAGCCTGCAAAAGGAGTCTGGTGGAGACTAATTTTTTTTCCGCTGGTGCAAAAAAAAAAGCAGAAAAATGTAGCCAAATATATATCATAGTTGGTCAGGAGAATTTTGTCACCGTTGACTTCATTTGTACCTTTGGAGAGGAAAATTAACTTTCTTTTGGATTGACTCTCCTGGCCAATTATTTCTTTGTTTTGCCGAATTCTAGCGATCCGACCCGTACACACACACACACACACACACACACACACACACACACACACACACACACACACACACACACACACACACAATCTGCGAAGCAGGCACAAACACACATGTAACTTTTGTTTTGCAAATTGGTACTCGTATGTCGACGAATTTTTTGCAACATTACACCTCCACAACCAGCCAATTTAAGTAAGTCACACAGAACTAGTCAACGACTTTCACAATACGATTCGTACCAAACTAGATTTTTAAATGTTACATTTATAACAGCAATTGTACATTTGTAATGTGTCGCACTGATCCGAATCTGAAGAAGTTTATTTGCTGTTCTGAGCTGAAAGATACAACAGGCTCCGAGCATTTTCTGTAAACTTTCCTTTTTGCACTTTTGCCTTTTCTATGTATTGTTAACTGCTGGCTTTGTTTTCACACTCAAAATAAGAATCGACCTTAGACCTTACTTGTTTCGAATTTATCAAGGAACAATTTTTATTTTATTTTATTTCAATTGCAACGAGGCAATACAATGGCCACCCAGGCAGCATGGCTGATATCGGGTGCCGAAAGATACACAAATTAAACACACACAATATAACTTATTAATAGGCTAACAAGTACCACGTTAGGCTAGAATCCATCAATAACAGTATAAAATTTCTAACAGACTTGTTGTGAACATTGTTGTGATTTATTTCACTACTTTGACATTTGTTTCGTTCTTGTAAAACTTGACGTATTTTACGGACGAATATTTTATTTTTCTTCTTTTCCTAAGAATGTTTTCTTGATAATTATGACGATTTGGGGTTTTCTCCAAGTTATTTCACTACTTTGTTTCGTACTTTGACGCATTTTACGATTAGATATTTTTTCTTCTTTTTTTTGAGAATGTTTTTTTAATAATTATGACGATTTGGGGTGTTCTACAGCTCCAAGGGTGGTCAGACGGTGATTGGTTGTTAGGGCTGGAGGCTGGTGTGTGTGGCCGGGCGAGCGGCAGCAGGCCATGCTCGGGAGTAACACTAGCACTTGCACTTGCGCGGCTGTCTCATTGTAAAACAAACGATGTCAACACGTAGAAAAACTTCTCCGCCTCCATCGCCTGTTTAGAATACCCGCCCGCATATACGGCGTGCCTCCAACGGTTACCAAATCGGGACTAAGAACCCAGAAAAGCAATAATTCACACGGTGATATCCCAGCCGACCACAGGAAGTTCAAACTAGCTCCCCGCAAAGACACCTTAGCTCAAGAAAATGTGAAGAATTTTTGTAGGAAGGGAATGACCGAGCGAAAGTTTATCCCGCGCGCATGGCCTGTGTTCTCATTTTGGGTGGAAATGAAAATACAGAGGGTGGCATGTACGGGGCCATAAATACCAAGTGGGGGAAAATAGCAAGGGTCAGACTGCGGTAACTTAAACTCGCCTTTTCAGAGCGCAAAGTGACACGGGGACACAAGGGCGCGGAGTTAAACTGTTTTACAGGAGTACAGCTGTGTGGATCGCTCCGAGCGCCCGCTTTTAAACCGGCTGAAATTCAGAGTCACGGCCGCTTGAAGTGACTGTAGAAGCGCTGTAACAACAAGTTCACACGACATTCTGACGAGAAAAACAAACACCGCAAATTCATGAGTCGAGTTTAGTTTTCTGCGATCGCTGTTTCGTTACGTTACTAGTTGGAGGTATGATGCGAAAATGTGGGTCAACGTGCGACAAACGTGCGACAAACACACGACAAACGCGAAATGAGAGTAGACAACCATACAACATAATGCCAAGCATGTATGACGGGGTAGAGTGCAGAACACATGTATCTAAATCCCCCTCACATTATCTCCGTATTGTGCAGATGATGTTGTGATGTCAGGAGCGTCCACACCCGCACATGCATTGGTCAATCACTTGGCTAGTACGTGCCTTGCTGTGTGGTCGCCGCAAGGACCCAAAGTGGTCCACACAAACTTCCACGCCCAGAAATGAGCTGACTCGCATATTACTAACCACTTGAGACCATATAGGCTAGGGAGGGGAGCTAAAAATTGCCACCGTTCCCTGGGGAGAACAAATGAAGATGTCAAGATTGACAGCAGGGGAAAATGGAGCCATTGAGGCGGGAGGTTGTCCGCCTGTCAGAGCTGAAGGGTCGGTTGTCCTGTGCGACACCGCCGCATGCCACGTACGGACCACGCCGGTATATCTGTGTCAATCCCCCGCCTGGTGAAGTCAGATCCACGGCCGCATATATACCAGTGATCGGCTAGCATTTTTATTGAGAGGGCGGGGTGTACGCACCAGCATTGACGTGTTTGAATGACGGGTTGGTCCGCTATGGTCTACGATTGTCATCTGGACGAATTCCAGGACAAAACCACGCTGTTTTCCCCTACTAAAAAACAAAACAAAACACGAAGATCGGAATATGTAACAAAATCTTGGTTAGCGGGAGTCAGTGTACGTGTAGCGGGAGGTTAGGGGTATTAGATGATGTTTGCTAATAGCCCATTCCAAGTTATCTGGCCTTAGCCCAGCCTAAGGTGCATTTAAAACGGCAGTGCTGCATGGGATATTGACTAAGGTAAATACAGACGGCGACAGGCTGGCTCACTCTCCCAAGGTTCCTCTTGTTAGAGTCGGACATGCCGACTCGAGCCCTTCCTGTCCCCGTAAGTGCAAGGTATCACGGTGGGGATAATTGACAGACGACACCGCAAACCTCAGACCGTCTTTGTTTCAAGGAGGATGCTCGGTTCTGCCTCCTGCCCACAAAGGCAAAATTTTCTCTAGATCTATTCTTTGATAAACGACTATACTTTCTTTCAGGGTTGTGTTTTCAAACAGACGCGCATGCGCGCCTTTTTTTTTACGGTAGACACTTGCTGAACAAACTACTCCTAAATCGGTTGAGCCTAGCCTCTACCAGGCTTCGGGAGGCGACTGGAAAGAGTAGTAGAAATCGGCCAAATACTATAGAGAGATAGCATGCCAAGGGAGTTGGTCTGCTGGAGAGAACAGTTTGCGGTAAAAATGTACTTTCTCGCGGACCAACTCCCTCGGTATGTTATCTCTCTATTTGACCGATTTCTACTCTTTCCAGCCGCCTCCCGAAGCCTGGTAAAGGCTAATTCGAGCCGACACTGGCCAGGAGAGCGCCAGACAAGAAAGACTTGAAGTTGTCGCACGAGGGCGCTGAGGAACATTCACACCTTGCAGCGGTCTAGCTAAAACAAACGGCATCCCATAATACTCTCCCCAACCTTGGACCCAGATCTAGAAGCTGGGTCACAATTTAAGAGCCTGACCCGAACTGTCGCCAGAACACAGGCGGTGATAGGGTAAGGTGTATCCAGATAAAAACACAGGTGAACACAATGACATTCCAATGCCCTGACGTCTTGCTATAAACAGATATCTGTCAGAAAGAAAAAAACGCGAAACAGGTGAAAAGAATATCTGCATTCATTCATTCATTCAGATTCATTCAGTCATTCATTCTTGTTTTCCTACTGGTTCGTGTTTCTTTTCTTTTATTTTCCGTTCATTCTGACCTTTTTGCATCAACTAATTATTCTTATTATTGTTGTTACAAAATGAATTGTGAAATGAAAACAACAGTTTTTTTTCAAACCGTGCGGTAATAGTTTTATCTTAAATTTGACGCTGTATCTTAACAGAGATCTTTGAAAAAAGGTCAGAAGAAAGAAAGACTTAAGATCCCAAAAGTGTTCTGTAGTAATCTACTTAGCATTAAGATAAGGCAGTGAGATAAGTACTTACGGAATTTGTTCTTTTGATCCACCATGACCCACTACGCGACCTTAAGTCAGATAGCAAACAATTGCCGGCACGTAATTCCAAACTATCAGATTTTAGAAAGGGACCGGCGTTTTTCTTCTAACTTGTAAACCTTTTTTTGCCCGTAATATAACTTCAAATTGATCATTTGATTATAGATTATTAAATATTTAATGGGGAGTTGAGAAATGGAAGAAATTTGATTAAGTTCTAAGTATCGTAATGAAAATATACATTAAGTGTACATGAAGCGCTATCTCTAAACAAATATTGTTTCATGTCTTTGCATTTGTACCTATGGTAGCGCTATGGTAGCGCTGTGTGTTTAATGACTGAGACATCAGTCTATCGTTGATACCAGCCCAAGATCAAAGAATAGAAAGATATCAAAAGTTTATAATCAATAAAGTACATGTGTGGTTGATACTAGAGAACAGACACCAACTCGGATTGAGAGCTAGAGAGAAGAATTGTAGATTTAATGCGGCCCTCTTTTGAAGAGCATTTCTGACCTACATAGAGTGTTTTTGTTAGGAAGTTGACGAAAAATAACGCTGTTTTGTCTTGAGTATAACCGCGTGATAAGAAGGCGTGGCCACCTGCTAGCTCAGGTAGACAAATTATGTGATCTTTTGTTCAAATGTAGCAACTAGAGGAAGGAATTATCCCCCGCATAGAGTGAGCAAAAACCCGTGCAAAAACAGGAATGCCTCTTAGAGTACTTAGCATTGCTCTCTACATACACCACTAAGGGTGTCTCTGTAACAATAATAGTCGGGTTTTCTCTCCCTTCGTTTCTATCAACAATCGGGTGGACTGGTAGACTAACGGGCACCACAGTGCCTAGATTTTCACGGGAGATAGCATTGTGTGGCGAGCTCGCTGTGGCGTGGCGCTGAAAAAAACTGACCGGTGGTCAACGACTGGAAACTGTAGACTCCGCTAATAGCTTAGAGCAGGTAGGGTACAGGAGATTGTAGCGAGAGAGAAAAGGAAAAACCATGGTGGCAAAATAAGCCGCTATGTTTGTTGACACACCCGTCGGCCGCTTGGGACGAGGATTATGGTGAAACGTAAATTAGCCGGTGATTGACAGTTGACAATCTATTAACCAATGGGCGGACTAGGTTATATCGAGGGGGCATCTCTCCAATTAAAGCACGTGTGTTTCCCGCGCCCTGATTGGCTGGAAAAGATAGCATCTTCTCCAACCGAGTGAAGCGACTCATCAATCTTTGACTGAGACCACAAAAAAATTTGGCTGGGACCACCCAGCCCGCCCCCTGCTCTAACTCACTCGCTTTTTGTTGTGGCTTTTAAAGAAATTACTTCAATTACCCATGGTGACACGGGGCTGGCTTAGCCATGACCAATATTTGACTTGGTCGGCTAAAAGGTGCCAAGAAACAACCCTAATTCAATAGCAGGGTGACAACCTAATAATGACTTGACAACGCTAAAACAATTGGCAACTACACGACAATAATCCGTGAGCAAATCATCGGCACATTGAGTGGTCATATAAAAAATCCCCCCATTGCAGAGGCTACAATTGGACGTCAATGCTGAAAGATGAAATTTAGTGGGAGGGGGGCATGTACTGAAACTCCGTGCGATCGAGTTGTGGTGGAAATCCTCCCAATTACGTTACAAATTGAGGGCACTTGGCAGGCTTTCTTCGCACGGTGAGCTTCTTCCGGCCTGCGGGGAGGACCTGCATTGCGTGGTGTGTAATTGAGTGGGGCCGAGCCACTTTAACATGCTGTTAAAACGTTTAAAAACGCCAACAATTCGGTGTAATAGCAAGGCCCACCAATAGCGAGGCTCGCTGAAGCAGGGATGTTTTTATCTCCACCCAGCATCGCTCCAGGGCCCTTATGGTGCTGTCAATCTTCTATCAAACGTCATTTGTACTTCATTATTACAGATGAATAATACATATTGTTGAATCTCGGCCGTCCTACGGAGGCCCTCGGAGATCCAAACAGGCCAACGTGTATATACAACAATTGTGCATGTTGCAGGTACTCTGTTTGTGACAGGGAGAGGATACTACAGACTTTAGGAGAGTTGTGTGTCCTCACAAACAGCACCACAGGATGGAAGCCCAGACTAGCTCCTTAACTCCGTTTTCTATCAATGACATCCTGACTCGGCGTGCCCCTGGGCGAGACGAGAAGCTTACAACAAGCACCGGACAGGAGCAAGTACACGTCGGGGCCAGCTCAGCTCCGTGCCCGAGAACGGCACACCAGTCTACCGCTGCTTCTCACGAACCCGTCACGAACACTGTTACCACAACCGAGGCCGAGCTGGTGAACGTGCAGCGACTGTCACCGCTACAGGAGAAGACAGGGGTCGGGGTGAACATGCACCCTTCCCCGCCGGGACGGGCGACTAGCACGGAAACGGTGCCGACTGACCCCGAGCCAGAAAAGGACAGCGGGGCCGAGGACTCTCACGAGGACGTGAAGACCGGTGGGTGTTTTACCGTTCTGCGGTACACATGGCATGTTTTGTCTGGAACAGGCTCACTCAGGAGACGTTCTGACAACTCGCCCGTCGCCATACCCATAATTTCACTCATGGCGGGATCCACATTTTGTGGGAGGTGTATCTTATCACTTATTAGTCTAACATATCACTACACGGATCCCACTTCCGCCTTTACTTACAAGCTCGGTTATTTATATATCTTCAATGTCAACTGAGAGCTCACTGCTTTTTCTTCTTCTGTTTTGTCTTCCAGATGAGTCAGACAAGTCGCAGCAGCAGAACAAACCCAGGAAGAAGCGATCCCGAGCCGCCTTTTCTCACGCTCAAGTGTTCGAGTTAGAGCGACGGTTCAGCCATCAGCGTTACCTCTCGGGCCCGGAGAGGGCGGACCTAGCCGCGGCGCTCAAGCTCACGGAGACCCAGGTAAAAATCTGGTTTCAGAACAGAAGGTACAAAACCAAACGCCGTCAGATGGCTCAGGAACTGCTAACGCCACCGACCGCTAAGAAAGTTGCCGTGAAAGTCCTTGTCAAGGATAACCAAAGACAATATAGCCCTGAGGACCTGGTTAGACCGTCCATGTTACCCACTATGACCAGCCCTGTGTACTACTACCACCCGTACTATGCCCTCCCACACACATGTACACAACCCTTCAACGTTTTCGCCCATGGAATGACGTGATGGACAAAGCGCAAACCATATAGGACTCTTTAAACTTGTCGTATTTATATGATGTGAGTTTTTTTGGACAATAATTTGTCGAAGTCTGGAGTTGAGAGAGATCTCCGAAGCCGGGCCGACCGGTACACTATAGAGGCTGGGCCAGCGTAAGTGTGCATCTTCGGTCGCTATAATTGTTCTGCCCCGGTGAGAAAGTAGACATGTGCCTTTATTAGGTCTACCTAAGTGCAGGCAAATAAAAGCAGGGCTTGTTGACATGGCAAGGTTTCTATGATGGCCCTTAATTTGCTTGCTTTAACACCAGAAATTGCTCTTACGCCACGTTACTGCCAATATTGTTTCGGACAATATTTTTTTGTCGGTTCGAACATACAAGGATAGATTTGTAAACGATTGGTAGTATTGCGACTCACTGCTGTTAAAAGATGTCCGGCTATTTCCTCTAGACTTTAGCTGATACTGTAGATCAGTATCGGAAGGCTTACTGAGACATGTACAGTGTTTATAGAGTGATTTGTAGGAGATTTGGACTCCTAATTCCACGCCTGTCAGAGCGGGGCGATGTACGGAAGCTGTTAGCAGAGCGGTCACCACGGGGCTCATTACCCGTATTAACAGATCGGCTTATCTCTCCTAAAACATAAACTCGCATGTCCTCTCCCTGTATCAGCATAGTACAGATAAAAACAGAGATTAAAACATCTTGACTTTCTAGTAATCCAATTCGTGTGTCTCTTTATTTGTAATTCACTAATTTATGTAGATATATCTACTGTTTCAACTTTATACATAACACACAGGGTCTTTTTCAAATGTAGTCAACACCGTTGATTTTTTTTCTGAAAACGTTGTAAATGATGTCCGGTTTTTTTTATACCTTTCCGTTTTGTTGAGTTTTGAGTATAATCATTGTTAGCCGCTTAGTAGAGATCTAAGGGATAGTGTTTATTTTGTGAGAGAGTCCAGCGCGAAACGATAGTGCAGTTCTTCCACTAGGATAGGGTTCTGTCATCCGTTACCGAACAAAGTATAAACTCCAGCCTTTCGTATTTCATTCCTCTCTTTTCTTTAGGCATCCGCTTCGTTGTTTGTTGACAGCGGTGTAAAATGTATTGGCGGTGTTTTGAGTTTTGATTAGGCTTTGTGTGCGGGTGTTTCAAGCCGGGACTCAGGTGGTCGAGCTGGGGAGAGTCAGTCTGCTACGTTACGGTGAACTAGAATCAAACCCAGATCAAAGCTTGCTACAACAGAATTATTACGGCTATTAGTGACCACCGGCTTGTCGGGTGGCTGTCCATTTCCCCCTTTTGCCATCATCATGTCCAGTCGCTTGTCCGGACTCTATAGCCAGGCATCCGGCGCTGACCACAACTCGCTCACAGCCACAATCATAGGGAAATGAAGCCTCAGAGCAGGTGGCACCGAGCACACTGAAACAAAAGGTGCGGAAAAACAGGGTCGTCAGTCTCAAGTATACGTACACAGTTCAGAAACAACCCCTGATTGCCTGCCACAAAGTACGAGTTGCAGAAGGTCACCTGTCCAGCAATTGTCGCACCTTTTGTTTGAGCAGGAGAGAAAATTGAAGAGTACTGCCCCCACCTGTAGTGTGGCAGCCAGCCTGGTTGTCTGACAAGCAGAGGGCATGTAATGTCTTTGTGGTACTGGGGGAGGGGGTCCCACTTACGCATTGTGAGAACAGGATTAACTCCACAAACAGTATTGTTCACACCTCAGACGAAAGTTAGCTTATTTTTCTCAGTAAGGAACGTCTCAACGCCATGTAGCGGGGACAGGTTGTTTGCTTTGCCGCGGGAGAAACGTCGAGCGCTCCCGCTAAAATCACCAAGAACCATCCGTAACATTTCTGCCAGAGAGACAGCAAAATAACACAGACCCTGTGGCAAGTACAAACCATTCTACAATCACCCAAGAGTCCATAAAAACCATTCTACCACATGACATGTTTCAGACACATGTATTTTCTCTCGAGTAAGCCCAAAATATATGGTGTGACATCTCATATTAAGAAATGTCATTTGAAAATCTATCCAGCTGCTTGAGTAACAATTTCCTTGTGTATCTCATTATCTGGATGTGTAACCTTCATTGACAAATGTCATTTTGTTTTATAAACACTGGGTTTTTATCGTGCATAAACTATCAATAGAAAGACACCAAACTGGAAAAAAACGCCAGATGTCAATGTTTATGAAAAATTCACTCAACAATATTTTCACGGTAAGAACATTACTGTCATATTAACTTCCACATAACCATTATTAATTGATAAACTTAAAATTCAGTCCATTACTTAATAAACATTTTCAGAAGGATTTGATAAGATTTACATTAAAAATAATTGGGGATAACACATTCAATACTTGGTTTTAAATTGAAACGTTAAAAACAGAGAAGCATTCTCACTAGCTAGCTACCTCTGTTTTAAAACAGGACGGTCACGATTTAATTCATTTTTAGTAAAAATGCAAATCCATTCAATGAACAGGTGTGTTGTAATTTCAGTAAAAAGCTTCTGGCACCAGGAAGTTGGAATAATTTTTCTCTCTCGGCAGTTACATGTTAGGGACTTTCTCTATTTCAGTAAATACTTAATGTGCAGTAGTAGACTGAAATGCTGAAATCTCGACCGAAAATGACCATATATTCTCCAACCTCGGCCTATAAGGCTGTCCCTCATTACCCTATTAGAGTGGATCAAGAAGTCTCTAAAAAGAAGGTTAAGTCGAGATTAGCAAATATGGGTGATATTTCCGGGTTGTTCTGTTAGACGGCTAACTCTCCCAGCCCACCTAGGTTGTCTAGCCGATGGCGCGGAACCGCAAAAATTCTGAGAACGTTTTTCAGTCGTCTAACATGTACCGGTGCGTTCCTTCTCCTGTCGCCCGATCGTGGGGAGTCTGAACTGCGGCAATTCTACGGCTCGTTGCCCCCGCTGGTCCCAAACGTGTTCCCGTGACAAGTCCCAACACCGCCCTGAAATCCCAGTACCACTACACGCTAAAATTGCAGAGCCATGTTGAAAAAAAAGGGAGCCATATCTCATTTGTAAAAAGCTCTCGGTTGCCTGCCTCGGTCCCTCAAACAGTAAATCACCAAATGATTTGTCTTTCCGCGGCCTTTAAGCATCTGTTTACCGTGTTGCGGGCTCCAGATTGAAGCGATAAGGATGGAGGGGAAATGTTTATAAGTCTAACTACTCAACACGGGCCGTCCATGATGGAACCGCCATCTTGGAAACGTCAGGAGAGTCAATTGGAGGGTCACTACATGCCAGTTTCTTACCAATTGAGAGAAAAAATATTGCTCCAATGTTTTTCTTTCTGTCAGGGCGGAAAATACCACCGAGATTCTCCTGTCAGGAGAATGTTTTCATTAAACTTTAGGGGAGCGAGAAGCTTTCGCGATGCCCGGGCGATAAGTCCTAGATTATATCGGATTTGGGATGCCATGATGGCGACTTTAAACTCCATTTGGATTACTTTTTTTTTCCCTCGGTAATCGGCCAGGACATCTCCCTGTGGCTCACCGGATCCGATTTACCAAGTCTTACCCGAACGCCAAGAAACATTCAATGACTTTTTAAGCCTAAAATACGATCACAAAATGACCCCAACTCCCTAAACATTAAGGCTAACCACGGCAGGCCATAGGGATTCGTACCGCGTCTCGAAGAGAAGGAGACAGAGATAATATTTCTTAGACAAAGAGACGAAGAACATCGACACTTCCCCTTAACCGCAAACATTTGTATTTACTTCTGTGGTCAAACACGTAAAGACGTTTGCCCTTACAGTAAATTGCAAAAGAATGTGTAAATAAGATAACCATTTCTCCTGACAAATATATTTTTCTTAATAGCTTTACCATTCATAGACAACTAGAAAAAAACAGCAATTTTAAAACATTAATAACTTGAAGACTTGTTTATGTGTTGACTCCTTGTTGTATCTGTATCAGCCGGTATAACCGCCCTTCGGCGTAACACACCAGCTTCGTAGGCACGCGGCGCGGCGGCAGCTGGCTATATCACATCGAACGGCTTGTTACACCCAATCTTTGCACATTTGATTGCAAGAGTTGTTTAAAGCTTTCTAGTGATGATGCCCCAACTGTGCTTGGTGGCAACGAGTTCCAATCTACGATAGTTCTGGGGAAATACGAGTTTTTGAACACCTCAATTCTTGGTTGATAACTCGGTTGATATTTGAAGGCATGACTGTTTTCTTGTTCTTTTCTGGGCTGGTATCAGATACTTAGTGGTTGGTACGTCCACCAGTTTATTAGTCATTTTGTACACCATGCACAGTGTTGTACGTGATAAGTAAGACATGTGGTACTGTTCATAGTGCATATGTCCACATATGTCTGAACCCCGCCACCTGAATCAACTACCCACTGCGCCAAATGTGTATGTATATATGTGTATATATAGCTCCTGTCAAAAGACAGAAACTTTGCACATAAATCTACGGATGAAGGATCATAACAGGTACAGGATAACACTCTATTGGTGTAGAATGTTGGAGGAAGGACTAGTATTGTGTAGAAAGACAGACACATATAACGTTACTTTTCTCACATATGTGTATATTGGTGGAATCGCTCATTCTAAGAAACAATACCGAAGAGAATACCGGCTAGATACCGCCAGATATTTCACGAATACAAGTTCTCTTCTAGATCTATTTGTCATATATTGGCCGATTTGCCTGTAACAGAAAGGAAATACAAATTCTATATTTTTCATGATCGGACCTGATTGCAAATTTGAAACCACAAAGCAGGAAATGGTGATGCTACGGAAATGCACCTCCTCCCAATATGATATCTGTTCTTTTTGTGAAATATACACATTTTAAACTTCTGTTTTATAAATCCATTGAATTTGTATTCTATCAGCTACTTTCTTTTCAAAATCTATCAACTACTGTACATGGTTTGAAACATTTTGTTCAGAGTAAACTTACAAAATTGATAGGAAGTATACATTATATACTAGTAATGCGTGCTCTGATATTTTCTTTTGTCTCTAGCTTGGTAGCTCGCACTGAAGCCAAATTGGTTACATTTTACAGAACACCATAGTTGTAACATGTCGTATTGAGATACCTTCATAGTGAAAGCACGTATAATGTCTTCTTGCCGAAGTAGCTAAAATGGTACCATGTCTATACAGCTAAAAACCAATCAAAATATTGACCTATCATTTCTAAATAGGGCTCAGTCTCAGTACTTGACATCCCACTATTTTATTATGATATTTTGATTCAACATATATAGCACCGTGTCCAAAATGCTCCCTTACTTCCCCACCATTCCCTGCCACAAAAAAAAAACAATTTTACTACTAAGATCAAAGAACCCACATATTATAGAAGAAGTGGGTAAATTCGTCTTCCTTTGCCTAAAAAGAAGAAGTCAAACCCAGTAAAACTAGTACCATGTATGTTGTAGAATATAGTATAATATTAGACGTAGATATAGTCTCACATACCACTGTATTTTCTTTCTTATGTTGTTTGTAACTGCAATTAGCCCTCGGGCAAGTATCTGCAATAAGCTTTGTTTCCTAATATAGCAATGCAAAAATACATGGGGTATCGAAGAATTATATAGAAGACATTGGATTTCTAAGTAAAGCTTCTTGGTCAATTTTTAGGACGTCATAAGGATGAATGGGTCTTTT